ACCAGAGAGAGAGATGAATAGCTGAATCCACAAAATCAATGACATCGCAGGAAGAAGCTGATTCATCCAGCGTACAAGGTGACCACTCTCTCGGCAACTTTGGTTTCTTCTTCCTAAACGATACATTTCATCGTCGTTTTGTTTCTATTTATAGTTTATGTGTATTATACTATTCTTGCTTTGTTTAGTAGTTGGAGGAGGAGAGAACAACGGCATCAACACTGAGCTATGGCAAGCTTGCGCTGGACCTCTTGTCAATCTCCCTTTACCTGGAACTCATGTCGTTTACTTCCCTCAAGGTCACAGCGAACAAGTAAGTCCACACCAGTTAAAACGTAATCACAACACTTTTTTCATACTTTATGTGCTTTTCTGTTATAAAAATAGTTTCTACTTAACCACTCATATCATAAATGTTCATTTTGTTTCAGGTTGCAGCATCTTTGAAGAAAGATGTGGATGTCCAAGTGCCAAACTATTCCAATTTTCCATCCAAATTGCCGTGTATTCTTCACACTCTCACCTTACATGTATGCTGGATTTTTCGTTTTACCTTGTCTGTATTACTTATGCTAGAGTTCCTTCTCCATGTTCTAATTTTTTTCGGCTTGTTGTGGTTGTTTTTTCAGGCAGATCCTGATACAGATGAAGTATATGCCCGGATGACGCTTCAGCCGGTGTCTTCGGTAAGAGCACCATATGCAATGTTGTTATATCTCTCTTATTTGCAATAGAAATTTCGATAATTACCTAATTCACTTGTTTTGTTGACATTATTTGTCTAGTTTGACATGGATGTCTTATTAAGATCAGATATTTCTCTCAAGTCGAGCAAGACGCAACCTGAGTTTTTCTGTAAACAACTGACAGCGAGTGATACGAGTACTCATGGTGGTTTCTCTGTACCTCGCCGTGCTGCTGAGAAGATTTTCCCCCCTCTCGTATACTATTATTTTTTTTCATCTTTTTTTTTTTTTTTCAGTTCCTTAACTAGAACTTACTTTAGAGTTTAATCTGGTTAATGTTTCTATATAGGATTTCTCTGCGCAACCTCCTGCTCAAGAACTTGTGGCAAAGGATTTGCATGGTAATGTCTGGAAATTCCGCCATATATATCGTGGTATGTTTACATACATATACCTACCTCTAAATTTGGAATTTCCGCACTAATGAGGAAATTATCCCGCTGACATCTTCTAAAGTACACTTTTGAAAATATTTTGCCTTTCCGCGATCTTCCTAACCAGGACAACCGAAACGTCACTTGCTTACAACTGGATGGAGTTTATTTATAAGTGGAAAAAGGCTTTTAGCTGGAGACTCTGTTTTATTTATACGGTAAGAGTAATAAATAGTTGTTGCTGTGCTATCAAACCTTATCATTTTGGCTAAACTCGTTTAAGGTAGCAGCTTGTGTTCTTACTAGATATCGTGATTTTGATTGCTCTTGGCAGAGATGAAAAGCAGCAGTTGCTTTTGGGTATCAGACGAGCAAACAGGAAACCGACTAATTTATCATCCTCGGTACTATCAAGTGATAGTATGCACATTGGAATTCTGGCTGCCGCAGCTCATGCTAGTGCAAACAATAGTCCGTTCACCGTGTTTTATAATCCTAGGTCAATATCTGTCACTGACTTTATTCTGACTGAATGAATGCATAATTTCTTTGATTGACAGTTCTCTTTGCCATATCGACTTGTATCCTCAGTTCTTAAGCTTATGTCCGTCCTTGATGTGCAGGGCGAGTCCCTCAGAATTTGTTATTCCATTGGCCAAATACTACAGGGCTGTATACAGCCATCAAATATCACCTGGCATGCGCTTTCGAATGATATTTGAAACAGAAGACTCGGCAACAAGAAGGTGCTTCATTTTATGACTATGTATCATTAGGGTAGTTTGGTGAAGAATGCTAACTTGGAAATTAATCTTTGATATTTAATATTTGAAACAATACTGCATTTATTGCCAGATATATGGGTACAGTTATAGGTGTCAGTGATCTGGATTCCGTGAGATGGAAAAACTCGCAGTGGCGTAATTTACAGGTACAGTTTTTGTTATCTTTTAGCCATTCAATAAGGTTAAACTTATTATCCATAAGTAGTTAAGTTCCGAATCAGTTGTACTTCAAAAACAAGTTTCTTCAACTTCAAGCAGTTTTTGTAAGTCACTCGTAAATTTTCAGGTTGGTTGGGATGAATCTGGTGCTGGGGAAAGGCGGAGTAGGGTCTCAATCTGGGAAATTGAACCTGTTACTGCTCCATTTTTCCTTTGTCCCCCTCCATTCTTCCGATCCAAGAGACCGAGACAACCCGGAATGCCTGGTAAATAATTTTATAGTCACCCCCACTTAGTGGGACAAGGCTTGGTTGATGTTGTATGTTTTTGTAATTAGTATTTATTTTACAACTTTTTTTTGCAGATGATGAGCTATTTGATATCAGTAACCTTTTCAAGAGTACAATGCCTTGGCTTGGTGATGATATGAGTGTGAAGGATCCACAGGCTTTCCCTGGCATGAGCTTAGCTCAATGGATGACCGTACAGAAAAATCCTTCTCTGGCTAGCTCATTGCAATCGAATTGCGTACCTTCTTTGTCTGGATCCGTTCTACACAATCTTCCTGGCACCGATATTGCCCACCAGTTGGGACTTTCTACTCAACAAATCTCTCAGTCAAGCAATGTAGCTCCCAATGCTCCGGTTCATACGCCATCATCCGCATCTAGTGGATTGGGAACAGTCACGCAGTCTGAGCAACAGTTGGGTAATATTACTCAGCATTCTAGACAGAACTTGGCAAATCAAACTCAACTTCTTAATCCCCAGAGCATTGTCCAAATGAACAATATTCTTCAATCACAACAACCATCCATTCAAAACCATGAACTCCATAGAAGTTTCTCTCAGAACCAACTGCAGCAGCTTCAACAAATGTGTCAGAACCAACAGCAAAATATGATTCAATCCACAATGCCTGATCACAATAATCAACATATGTCTGATAATCAGGTTCGACTTCAGTTGTTACAGAAGCTTCAACAGCAAAAACAAACATTCTTGGCTCAGCAATCTGCATTGCAGCAGCCTGCTCAACTTGTTCAAAACCAAGACCACCAGAGACGACTTTTAGATGATTCAACACAAACACACAACTCTAAGGCCCTAACTCCCGGTCAATTGTTGGATATTCCTCCTTTACTTCAAAACTCACTGCCCGAGGCTAATTCTATGATCCATCAGATGACAGATCATAGTAGCCAGAACAATGCTCAGTTCTCTCAGCCATCCAAACAGCCAAAGCTTCAACATCAACAACAGCAAACGCAACCCGGTTCGCTGTCTAAAACGTCAAGTCATGTTGGACCTCCTTCTGCTACTACAAATAATCAGTTGTCTGCTTCTGGTTGTAGTATACGCACTGCAGCAACTGGAACTGCGCCATCTATCATTACTGATGATGTTCCATCTTGCTCCACTTCACCTTCCACAAATAACTGTGCTAGTGCGCTTCCTCCAGTGACAACATCCCATACCCTTATGAGCACAATAGGGAATGACATGGCTCAGTCTGCTGTGACAATCTTGAGTCAAAGTTCTAATGCAAATATGGTAAAATATGTACAGCCAAATTATCAAGTTAAGCCTTGTTTAAACATTTCCGAAAATCACAACCAAGGAAATATTTACCCTCAGACGTACTTGAATGGCGGTGCTGTCCAGACAGATTGTTTGGATACATCGTCTTCTACAACTTCCGTTTGCCTTTCTCAGAGCAATACTCACTTTCATCAAAATGACAACCTGTTATCTTACAATCCACAGTCGATGTTTTGTAGAGACAACATTCAAAATGTGGAAGTTCAGGCTGATGCTAGGTGCAATGTTTCATATGGCAACAGCATGAATGGGCAAATGAGAATGCCATTGAATCTAGATTCTACTATAACCAAAGGCACAACAAGGTCAAGCCAGGATTTGTCAACTAATTTCTCTTCCGAAGGCTTACTTGGAGATTATGAAAATAACGGCGATGCTCAGCCAGAACTTTCATCTTCCATGGTTTCACAAACATTTGGAGTCCCCGATATGACCTTTAATTCAATTGATTCCACCATAAATGATAGTAGTTTCTTGAATACTGGTCCATGGGCTCCACCGCCGCCGCCACATCAGTTTCAACGGATTAGAACATATACCAAGGTTTAGTCTTATTACTATTGTTGTTGATTTAATGACAGACACGTCTCAATGATGGACATGCCATTCTTAGCGGATATTTTCATGAATATTATGTCGGTTTACACCTATCTTTTGTTGTTAAGTTAGCTTTTTGTCTTGTAGGTATATAAACGTGGAGCTGTGGGAAGGTCCATAGACATAACAAGATATTCAGGTTACGAGGAGCTTAAACGTGATCTCGCTCGTAGATTTGGTATTGAGGGACAACTAGAAGATCGACAAAGGATAGGGTGGAAACTTGTTTACGTAGATCACGAAAATGATGTTCTGTTAGTGGGAGATGACCCTTGGGAGTAAGTCCTGCGGCTTCTTTTTTCATCAGATTTACCTGAGTTAGAATGAGACTAATTTAAAAAACTCGCTTTTTTCGATTAGCTAATTTGATATTGATTTGTTTCTTATGGATATGTCAGGGAGTTTGTCAATTGCGTCCGCTGTATTAAAATACTTTCTCCTCAAGAAGTTCAACGGATGAGCATAGATGGAGATTTTGGCAATGGTGGTAGCCTTCCAAAACAGGCCGGTAGCAGCTCTGATGGTGGGAATGCTTAAATGGGGTCCATGAATTAACTAACTATTCTTCTTTGTTGGTAACATAGTGAATTCTTTAGGGACATTTATGAATATTATTGTCCCAAAGGTATTTATGATGCATTTGTGGAGAGGGTTCTATGGCAAATTTGAAGATTCAAAACAATTGATGGTAAACTTCCATGAAGGTGTTAATCTGCCAATTATCAAATGCTTGCAGCTCAAGCATATCCAAAGCTAGATGTTTTTAAGCCACGCATATGATGTAGTGTAATGTAAAGTTGAAACAAGTTTTCTGTTGGTATAGTTGAAATATTACAGCATAGTTCAGTGTATCTGATTTTTAAAGGAATTGTTGTCATTTGAATTGATAGGTGGGGTCTTTTGGTTGGGCCTTTTGTAAACATCACCAGACAGCTACATTGTGACCATTGAAAAAAAAATTCAGTCTTCCCCACTAATCCTAATGTTTTTTGTGTCGTTTACTAGTACAAATGCTATAACCTATTCTTGGTCAAATAGATATTCAAAGTTCAAACATCAACTCATAAAAAGATGATGTTTTTGGTAGTAAATGTTTTAAGTGAGTTGGTTTGGAGTAGGGGTGTGCAATATAACCAATAACTATAAACCAAATTCCTATCCAAATTAATCTAAATTTTAAAACATAATCCAATAGTATATTTCAAAATTGGTGGCTCATTTAAAAAAAAAAAAAAAAAAACAGTATCCATATTCTAAACTAGTTGAGCTTAATGGTTACCACATTCAGATTCATAACCCTGTCTCTTTCTCCCTTCTCCCAACTGCATAACAAAATTGAACAAAATTCAAAACCCTAATCCCAAATCCAATGAAATCGTGCTTTGTCTTAATACCTCAATTTGGTCAAATTCATTGTATATTCACAGACCTCAATTCCTCTCAGTCGTCTCAAATTCCAAGTTTGTTTTCAAATCCTTCCTTTTATGTTAGTGTTTATGGTTTATATGAACTTCATTTTGCAGTTATTGTTAATATTACTGTAATTTTTGTGTGCGGCTTTGATTTTCTCAATGATTGCTAATCTGGGTTTTCCCACTATTTTGTTTTATCGTTGAAATCCTTAATTTGTTATGGTCTCATTTGTTTAGCCAATAATTGTCGTGTTGTTCTCTGGAACTCTTCCATTAGAAAACTAAAGAAACTACCCTCTTTAGAAATTCCACAACGTCGTGGAAGACTAACATATGCATTTGGTTGCGATCCTCTCATTAATAGTTACAAGCTTGTTTCTGTTTTTTGCTATGATTTTGAATCTCTTAGTATTGATATGAAAGGTTGCAAAAGTCAGGTTAAAATTCACACTTTGGGCACACATTCATGGAGAAGGATTCAGGACTTTCCCCCTTGTATGGTCCCCTGTGGTGAACCGGGAATAACCATTAGTCGCACTGTTAATTGGTTTGCATATTCTGACGCGATTCTTAGTTCCTCGCAAGCCATTGTTTCTCTTGATTTGGAGACAGAGTCTTATAGACAGATTTCACAGTCGGATTATGGAATGCAAGTTAACTTGACTCTCGGTATCATGCGGGATTGCTTATGCGTATTTTCTCATTCTCACTCATTTAATGATGTTTGGCTTTTGCAGAAATGTGGAAATAAAGAGTCTTGGATTAAATTGATCCGTATTCCTTACTTTGGTGATCATGATTACTTTATACACCATCCGAAGATAGTATATATTTTGGAGGATGATAATCATGTGCTGCTCTATTTTAAGGAGTTTTCTAAATTGAAGTGGGTTGTTTACGACTTCAAAAATGAACCCGTAGAAAGTATCAAGATTCAAGACATGAGTTTGATAGATTCAGAAGTCTACATTGAGAGTTTGATATTACTTGGATTTTAATACTAGGATGAGGATGTTTTGCTGTTATGTGATTTTTTTTATTTTATTTTATGTTTGTTTTTATTGTCTGTGTCTTCAGAGATCATTGTTAACTAACAGTGGATATAATTTGCACCTCGAGAAATTGTTGTGTTATGTTTATTTGTTTGTTAGAGTGGTTCTTCATGATGCATTAAAAAATTGTTTAGAATCACACATTGTATTTGATGGTGCTGATTTTATTTTATATGATTGGAATTATGTTTGTCAATACATCTGCTGCCAACTGTTAGCTGTGCATGCAAATTTCATAATGTATACTTCAAATCAGCTGCTAACTGACCTGAGTATGTTAGTTATAACACCATTGTGATGTGTTTGTTGACTTAGAAATGGAATTTTTTATAGAAGATATTGATTTTTTTTTGTGTTCTGATATTGTAGAGATTAATTAGTTATAAATTAATTCTTTATCATGCTAACTCTGGTTGCTGTAATGTTTCCCTATATTTCAACATAATAATCAGTAAGCTGCAGCTTTTTTTAATCAAGGATATACCACTATTCTATTCCAAGGATTCAAATCAATTAAAAGAGTACACATCATGATAATCATTGACTGGTATTAGCTCTACTTAGACGCTTTTTCCTGTATCTCCATGCAACCTGAATTCTGTTTGCTGCAAGTGATCTCCAACAAGGAGATTCATACCTAACATAACACAACCATCAAATCAATATGTCAGTTGTCACATCCATGGTTTTGATAATGCATATTCTTCATGATTCATGAAAGATCGTGCACTTGAATCATAAAAGCGTGAAGATATTATGAAGTAAACGAATTACGTTATGACTCCTTGAACACGAGGGCTCCACAATAATCTTGCGAAAAGAGTTGTCACTTCTTCAATGTCTTTAGAGCGGAGTGGAAATGCCTCAACATTAGTCAAGCATCTTACCATTCTGTCACTAGTCAACCCTTGTCCTTGAAGCTTTACTTTTTTACCTTCTGCAATTTAAACCAGGTTAGGGGGATGAAGATTCGTCTCAAGAATAAAATAACCATGAGAGCTAGAGAGATGAAACATGCAGTTTCTCATATTTGATTAAGGTTGTGTCGCCGACTACAACTACTTCTTTTGAGACAAGTTATCAATTATATCAAATATAGTTTTACCTTTGCTTTCAGAAGATTATTCAAGATATTGTCTTAAAAGTTCTTCGCCACATGCATCCCCTTCAGTTAACGGAACCAGAATTCCATCTTCTCCAATGCTCTCCAATTTTCCACGCACGATAAACAACATTTTCTGCACTAGACAACCCTGACTCAAATTGGAATAGAATAGTGGTATATGCTTTTCAGTCCTTGGAATAGAGCTATTGGTATGCAATATAGAAATATTTCATATGACAAAATACTTTAGCATGTTGTAGCTTCTAATAACTATTGTACCTATTCCTAGAACAAGGCTTATCAAGTTGATATTCTAATAACTATTGTACCTATTGATAGAAACACATGACTGTTGTGTATGTAATTTGATTTATAGACCAATATCTAAAATGTCTGATTTGATCTTGTTCTTCTAATATGAAATTGTTTTCCTATATTTAACAGAATCAAGATGACGAATGTTAGTTACTTGCCAATGTATGCAACGTCCGAGAATACGGTTTCAACCCCTCCACCTACCGTCTCTAATGAAATGCCACCTCCTCACACTAAGAAGCGGAAGAACCGTTCAGAGGCTTGGAATCATTTCATTATATCGTCAGAAGAAGAACAAAAAGCTTCGTGCAAGTACTGTGACACAAAAATTAAGTATAATAATAGAACTAGTTCTATGCACGCTCATTTATCAAGATGCCTTGTTTACAAGAGACAAAGGACATCATCTTCTATGACAAGTGCTGAAGAACATGTTGGCTCTCCTTTAATTGTCAAGTTTGACCAAAAAGCTATTCGAAGAGCAATGGTTAAGATGTTCATTAACATGGAGATTCCTTTTCGGAAGGTTGAACATGAGTCTTTTCATGAATTTATGAGTCTCGCTTCACCAAGATTTCAGATTTGTTCGCGCACAACATTGACACGTGATGTCTTGAAACTATGGGACACAGAAAAAATGATTTTGAAAAACTTTCTCTCTCTGAATTGTCAAAGAGTTTGTCTCACCACTGATATGTGGACTTCTTGTCAAAAGTTGAGCTATATGTGTGTGACGGCCCATTTCATTGATAATAATTGGAACTTACAAAAGAAGATCTTAACTTTTTGTCAAGTCACAAGTCATACAGGGGATGCTATTTGTGAAACAATAGATATGTGTTTGAACAGTTGGGGTTTAAACCACGTGCTTAGTTTGACGGTTGATAATGCTTCATCTAATGATGTTGGGGTTGAACGTCTCAAGAGAAGGCTTTTGTCTAAGAATAGTTTAGTTATGAGTAGAAACCATTTTCATATGAGGTTTTGCGCACATATATTGAATTTAATTGTGAAAGAAGGTTTGAAAGACATTGATGATTATGTTTATAGAGTTTGTCATGCTGTTTGGTATGCTAGATCTTCTCCTGCGAGGCTCGCTAAATTCAAGGCATGTATTGATGAGGAGAGCATGGACTATAAAGGTTCAGTTTCTCTAGATGTTGAGACTCGTTGGAATTCAACTTACTTGATGTTAGTATCTGCATCAAAACATGAAAGAACCTTTGAAGAATTAGGTTTTCGAAATAAAAGGTATGCGAATTAATTTTGCAATCATATACAGTTAGTTAGTTATTCTATTATGATAGTTATAAAGGTGATAAAAACTTTATATATTAATAGAAACTAACACAATAACACTTTATTGTTGTTGTCGTGGCTATTCTAAAATTATGCAAGTATATAATTTATCTTAGTGTAACAAGTAATAGCTACAACAGCTAATTACATTGTCATAAGTTATAAAAGAATTATTGAAGACAATATGTCAACCATGTATACTTTCCTCTCCAAGCATTTAGTAAGAAATTTCACATGACTAAACTATTTGACATTTTATGTTTTAAGGAAGAATTTATATAAATTTGAATTGATGTTGAAAATTTTATGTTGTGCTATGTATGTGAATGAGTTGACAAAAAAGGGAAAAGGTGTCCCGACGAAAGACGATTGGAAGCATATCAACTTAATCATTCCATTCTTGAAGTTATTTTATGATGCTACTGTATATATATGAGGGTCTTCTTATTTGACAAGCAATATTTATATGTTTGAGGTCTTGGGTATTGGAAAGAGCATTGTGGATATGTGTGCGTGTGAAGATGAACATCTACGTTCAGCATCTCAAAAGATGAAAAATAAGTATGATAAGTATTTGGGATCTCATGAGAAGCTTAACATGATGTTGTTGATTGCTCTAGTTTTTGACCCTAGACACAAGGTTAGATTGGTTGATTGGATGGTACGACGATATTATAATAAGGTTGATGCTGGTGCCTTGAAAGAAACCTTAGAGTCTTGCTTGAAATCTATTTATGAGGAATATTGTATTGGATTTATGCCTCCTCAAGGTAATCCACATGAGTCACAAGTTTTTGGTAATGTTAGTCATCCATACGGAACTGCTGAGTTTTATCTTTCAGAAGGGTGTGACAATGCAGATAATGAGTTAACCACTTATCTTGGAGAGAAGTTAGAGCATAACATGGAGATAAATGTTCTCGAGTGGTGGAAAGTAAATTTTGGTCGTTATTCCATCCTTACAAACATTGCAAGAGACGTGCTTGCTATGCCAATAAGCACAGTGGTGTCTGAATCTGCATTTAGCATAGGAGAAAGGGTGCTTGATCCATATCGCAGCTCATTAACACCAACAATTGTCGAAGCACTGATATGCACCCAAGATTGGCTCAAAGGAAAATCTTCATCATTGATTATAAATAAAGATTTTGATATTCTTGAGAGATTGGAGCAAGGTATGATAACTAAATATATTCACTAATGTATTATTATTTATTATACTTGAGGCATAATGAAATATATTTATATATTTTTTAGAATTACTTTATACAAAAGATGGTGCTAGTTGTTCAACCTCTTCAATCTCTGTTGCATTCGAAGAGGACTTAACGGTAAAGAATTCTAAAGTTTTATATATGCATTTTCTTTCCACTCTTGAGCTACAATTTCACTTGTGTCAAAGAATTCACCAACTATTTCACTTGTGTCAAATAATGAATTGTGGCTTTGTTGCAACTTGATGGAAGTGTTCAAACAGTTGGGTTTTTGTCATCAGAGGGGAGAATCCTGATGGAAGTATAAGAATGAAATGTCTTCCAGAAAATTGTGTTGCTAAAGACAATTTTGAGAATCTGGCTCTTGATACCCTTATAAATTTACAATGTAACTTTAAGATTTTAAATCTTGTTAGTTTTGTGAATTAGTGAAGGACGTTGCACATTCCCTATATAATCAACAAGTATTGTGTCAAAAAATTCACCAACTATTTCACTTGTGTCAAATAATGAATTGTGGCTCTGCTACGATAATTTTTGAGAAATTACTTTACTATATCTTAAGGTAAAATCATATATCATATGTTTTAAAATTGTCAATGACCATAAATTTTGAGAAATGATCAATTTTTTTTCCAATTAGTGTTTTTAACATAAAATAATTTTAGAACTTTTAAAAATAAAAAACTATTTTTGTTATAAAACTTTATTTTTTTTAAATTGGTTTTAAAACTGATTTTTTTTATAAAATTGATTTTGAAATTGGTTTTTTATAAAAGTGGTTTTGAAATTGATTTTTTAAAGGAAATTAAAAACTGGTTTTTAGAAAAATCAGTTTAAAATTGTTTTTTTTTTAAAACTGGTTTTTATGAGAAACTGGTTCAAAACCGAACCAATCCACATATAAACCGCTTTGAGAAATATAAACCGGTTTTAATGAAATAGTTTTAAGATCCAAATCAAATCATATATATGGTTTAATTTGGTTTGGTTATTGATCCATGTACACCCCTAGTTTGGAGAATAGAGTTATAAAAAGTTTCAAAGCTCAAAGAATGATTATAGAAATACCTATATTTTATCTGTCAATTGGTCCATTGTTTGTAGCTTACAATTAGAGAGTGTCATTTTTTACCAATTACTCCATTTGACTGGTTTTATGCTAGTTATTGCAATGTCTAGACAACTTTCCATCGCCTAGAAAACACAATGTTTTTGGTGCATGGCTTTATACTCTGGACACATGTTGAGACTCTTTTAAAAAGGACATTGTGTTTCTGAGGTGAAGCATGCAAGATTTTGGAGCACCTGTATCCTTCCTAAAGTGATTGTTTGGAGGAAGCTTGCTTTGATTGTTTGTTTGGAAGTTTCAAATTTATGATGTTTCATATCGTTAAGATATTAGATATAATATTATATATAATTTAAGTTGTGTAATCTAAGCTCAAGTTTAATTAAGATTTGTTAGTCTATTTAGTGTATAAGTTATGCTTATATAAATAGGCATAGTTTGTAATATAATTTGTACAGTTCAATAATATATTCCTTATTTCTCTCTCTCTCTCTCTCTCTCTCTCTCTCTCTCTCTCTCTCTCTCTCTCTCTCTCTCTCTCTCTCTCTCTCTCTCTCTCTCTCTCTCTCTCTCTCTCTCTCTCTCTCCCATCACTAAAAGTGTTTCACGCACTAACAAATTGGTATCTAGAGCTCTGATTAGATTCTTGATCGTGTTTTCAAGAATCACACGTTAGAGATCGTGTTTCCGGGATCGTGGGTTGTTGTTAATCAATCACTGTGAAAATGAATGATACTAATGGCATTCTGAATTCTCTTCCAACTCTTGATGAAGAGATTTGGATTTGATGGAGAAAATATATACAATCTATATTTGGCTTTCATGAAACTCTAGAAGTGGTTACTAATGACGTTCCTACATTGGCTGCGGATGCAACCGACGCAC